TTTCACTCATTCTTACAGAACAGAATAAGACAGAGAGAATGTTAGTTTTTAATATAAATCCCCAAGAGAGTGAACTCTCCAAAGCACGAGGTTTCCTCTCTGTAATTAGCTCGAAATGTATTATTTAAATTGAGAACTTGAGTCAGCATTTAGTGATGCCAATTTTGACATATCCTAAGATCTGTATTATGCACCTGAGATCCAAATAGAGATTAAGTATGTGTAATCTATGACAAAGTATGTTTATTCCTGCCTCTTTGTACCTTCAGTTGCTCAATTTTATTGCTGGGTTAGTTTCTCAAACTATTTCACAGGGAGAGATCAAGACAGGGCAGGAACAGACAGATAATGTGGAGAAGGACCAGAATTCCTCTTTCAGTTCATGCCGTCTTAAATTGTCAGATGAACTTGAGAGTCTACCTTTATCTTTCCCCCTAAACGCTGGACACTTGCCACTCAAAAATAAGTCTGACATTCTAGGACAAGAAACCTTTGGTCAAAATGAGTTTCAACACACCCCAAACAGACCCACAACACACAAGAGCCCTCTTGTCATCCTTCAACTACTTTTTGGCTTTTAATGTTTGATCCCACCTATATTTCAACAGAGAAAATGTATGACAGAAGATTATATGCAGAATTAAAGGAATATCTTTGACTGTCAAACTGCAGGGACTGGAGCATCTCTCATACTAGGAAAGGCTAATAGAGCTGGGACTGTTCAGGCTGGAGAAGTGAAGGCTCATGGAGGATCTCATCAGTGTGAACAATACCTGAAGGGAGGATGTAAAGAAGATGGCTCTTTTCAGTGGTACTCAGTGACAGGACCAAAGGCAATGGGCACAAACTGAAATTGGAGGTTCCATCCAAGCATCAGGAAACACTTTATTACTATGAGGATGACTGGGCACTGGCACAAATTGCCCACAGAGGTTGTGGAGTCTCCACTCTTGGAGATACTCAAAAGCCATCTAGACATTGTCCTGGGCTACCAGCTCTAGGTAGCCCTGGTTGAGCATGTAGGTTGGACAAGGTGACCTCCAGAGGTCCCTTCCAACCTCAGCCATTCTGTGACTCTGTTGGTACAGAATGTGATGATATTTCCATGTTTAATGACAATTATTATAGCTAATACCCTGATCTGCTTTGACTTGGATGCTTTCTAAGTATTTTCTGTGGGCAGATGTCAATACCTGTTCCAGAACTGAGGACAGAAAATCTAAAAATTGCAAAGAATCTTATTATTTCTCCAAACAAAACATTGGTTCGAATATGTGCTAGTTGTCTGAGGTTAGGACACATAGATGTCTACAGTTCTGTTGTCACAAAGGTGTCTGATGCATGCGTGAGTGATACCTTGTTGTCATCTTGAAAAAGAGAAATTAATGAAGCTGGACTCCCTCTGCACTTACAAAAGACCACATTCTTCAAGGCAATATGAAATGTGTCCTCACTGTTCTTAGTAAACTTCAATCACTTGTTCCACATAAGATGTTTTACTTCTGTCTGAATGACACTTTCCTCCTCTCTAAGCATGCCAAGTAGATAACCTATGTTACTTGATGTAGAGTAAGTTTTATTCCAGACAGGAAGAGACGGCTGAACTTGGACCCGATAACTCTCAGTGAGAGACAACTGGAGCCTATGGTCACAGCATTATAACTGGTTTTCCTTTTTTTTTTTAAGGCAGGGAGGGTTGATGCTGATTTTATATCTTGTTATATGTCTTTTTCAGAAGATCTGTGTCTCTTCAATTATGCATGAGTTCTGATTCTAAACATGAGTCTAACCACAAGAATCCAAGTTTTTTCTCACCAGGGCCCAGTGGAATCACTGTTAAGGAGATACTGACTGTGAAAATAGAAATATGTCAGTAAAGAATGGAGCAATTGAAACCCAAGCTTGTATTCAAATGATTTATTAATTTTGGATTTGTCATTGAGAACAATGCTATTTAAAGAGCAATTCTAGCCTTATAATTTTGATTTTCTTTTTACTTTACCCTGTCTTGCATTCATATATATTCAAGATTATGCTGAATTTAGTTGTTTAGAAAAGTGTCTTTTATGTTTTCCTTGACACATTGGAGAGTGACTTAAATGTGTTTAAAGACTTCAAAAGCTCACAACAAATGAAAAGAAATGAAATTTAATATTTAGAGGTTTATTATTTTTAAGCTAATCTCATTATTTTGAAGACTCCTTGGATGATTTTCTAATATTTAGAGTTGTCTGTTTGTGTACACATGATGTATTGACATTGATTACCACATTATAAGAACATGATTTGCAATACAGCTGTTCCTGCTGTACACAGACAATCTGTAAGAATCAGATACCTCCTTATTAGCGTAAGGTAAAAACTGATGAACAAGAAATATTTTCTCAAAGTAATGAAAATCAGTATTAGGAATGTACATGGAGGCTTGGGTTGGCTAGATGTCCATACTGCATGACATAAAACTTAGTTTGGAAACATCACATTCTGTATAGTGACAGCTACTGGACTTGGATTAAATACCTCACTACGTACAATGTGCGTAATATGGTAAGCTCCTTTAATAATGTAGTATATAGCAATGTTTTAACAAATTTATCTTCAAACATCTTCTTTCTTGAAATTTCTAAATTCTAAACTTATGTTAGAGGAGTAATCTCCAAAAGTCCATGGGAAATCAATGTTATTTGGGCACCTGTCTTCCTTCTAGACATTTGACAATTGTGGTATTAAAAAGTAAATGTTCTTCCTCTCTGATGTATGACAGCTATTTTAGAGTGTAAGCTCCATGGGGCAGGGACTTTTTAATCACATATACTTGAACAGAGGCTAGTATCTTTCAGATGTTATTGGCATATAACTATTAACTGATATGCAATGATTTTAGAACAGTTTCATGTTAAGAATAAATTAGTTATCAAAATAATTGTTTCCTTAAAGAAATCCCCAAAGTATCTTCAGAAATATAAACCAAGTCACATGGTATGCATGGTTTTTGCTTAATGGTAAAATAAAATCCTTTGATAAATGAGATAAACAGAAGCTGATGTGAAAACTGAATGCAATTTAACCTAAGGCTGTGCTCCTGACTTTCTAACAATTCAAACACCTTTTCCTGTAAGTACTCTAAATTGAAAAAAATATTTCCTATTTTGCATCCTATAAAAAACTGAGCTCTTCTAATTCTATTCAGATAGGCATATACGAGAAGAATCAAATCAAAATAGGCCATTTTTACCCACACGACTAGAGAACAATTTCAAAATAAACACCTGCAATTTTTCTCCACCTGCATCACTGACCAGACATATTTGGTTAGCAGTTTCTCAGTATCATTCAGTAAATAATTTGCTACAACCTACAGTATTTTTATGTCAGTATAATCACATTAAAATAAAAAGCATAATTGCATACTAAGATATTTCTAGTGGCACCATAGATACTGAAAACAGAGTGACACCACAGAAGCTTTTTCATTTATATTTTCTTTTGCTTATTGTTGTTGAATGCTGGCTTTTTCTGAGGATGTATAAATTTCATGTGGTAATGCCCTATAGCTCATAAAATTTTTGTATATATATGTGCTAAAACATTCTGTTTGTTATTCACAGCATTGATTTCCATTAGCAATCATAGAAACATTTCAACTCAGTTAAAGGTACTAATATTTCATTTGTAAATCATAGCTTGGCTTGTGTGGACAAGAAGCCTCATATCAGAAATTTGTTCATCTTCTCCGTTAGCAAGGCATATGAGTTGTGAATATTTTTATGCAGTAAGAGTGAGTGCACAGACCTTTATTGTGCTGAAGTAAGAGTATAGCAACAAGTGAATGCGTTTTGTAGATTGATTTTTTTTCTGTGCAGAAATATTTACAGGTTTGTAGAGAAATAGTGCAGAGGATAAACAGGAATGAATTAATAGACTGCTCTAATAACAAAAAGACACATCCTGTTCACATATTCATAAGACTGGTAGCACAAGTTCATGTTTTGTCCTTAGAAATATGGAACACATGTCGCTGCTCCCAGGGAAAGCACAGGTCCGTTAACGTCAGTGACGGCAGATAACAGGATTAAAGAAAGGGTCATGCTTAATAATGTGTCAAGCCCATTCCTTAACACAGCGGGCAGAATAACAAGGCAGGCAGTACTCCCACAGAAGTCAGTAGCAGAAATGTTTATAGATTCTAAAAGAAGCAGAGCTAAGATGATCCTAGACTATTTAGAAAAGCTCAGACATAATGACCACGTTGTAAGTAGCTCACATTTTTCTCTTCTAAACAAAATTAACATGTTACCATGGTACCCAAGAGGAATCCCGTGGTTCTACTTCAGGCAAACTCCCATTGTTCTGAGCAAGAGAAGAGCCAAGGACCATAGCAACTGGCCCTGTGGTTTGCTGAACTAATCATCTGCCCATGTAAATCTGCATAACAGCATTGTTTCAGTGGCCTGTGTTGCTTTTTCTGATAAAAATTTAAGTCCTACACTTACAAGCAGAATATATTTAACATGAAAATCTCATTAAAATGCCCTCTCTCTGGAAAAATACCTGATCGTTGTTCAGATAGCTCTCATTTTACAAAAGTCATGGTTATTTCAGCAAAAACCTCTCTTATATTAAATGTATTACTATTCTAACGGATAAAAAGGAAATAGACATATTAGTGCAAATAGGTGAAATTCAGCCAAGCTCTCCCTTTAGCTGTCTTATTTGTTATTTTACTGCAGTGTATTCATTCATATACCTTGATACCATTTCTTGCCATGAAGGATAACTTAATAATGAATTTTGTAACCGCTGCATACCTTAGTGTGTGCATTAGTATTTACATTGCATAAGCTTTACGATGTACTTGTTGAATTGTAATACTCTAACAGCTCTTAGGGCCATATGTATTTGTATGTCACTTCTTCCTTTCTATGCAGGAACAAAACATTAAATTTGTATAAAGCAGCTTTCATAACATTCACATTAAATCCTTATGCTTGTCTTTCCAGGTCCTGAAGGGATTTCCAGAATGCTTACAAGCTGACATTTGCCTGCACCTCAACCAAAATTTGCTTCAGAATTGCAAAGCTTTCCGAGGGGCCAGTAAAGGCTGTCTTCGAGCCTTGGCTATGAAATTTAAGACAACACATGCACCTCCTGGAGATACTTTAGTGCACTGTGGAGATGTTCTCACTGCTCTTTACTTTGTGTCAAGGGGCTCCATTGAAATCCTTAAGAGTGACATTGTTGTAGCTATTCTTGGTAAGTAGATTACTACAGGGCATGTTTAAAGAGTTAGGGGACTGAAAAGAAATGCCCATTGTTGTTCCTGGGGAAGGAAATTTGTAAATATTTTACTCGCTGTTATTTAAAATCAAGCAGAGAAATAATTGGTTCAAAGAGCAGAGTCTACATTACTGCAATAATTCATGTGCACCGAAGAGCCCACACCCTTGGATAGCTAAAATACAAGAGCAGGAGTCAGTCATATTTATTCCTAGATTAGTGGTAAGCTGCAAGTTGAGGCAAGCAGATAACAAATTACTCCAGTTTTGATTATGCTGCAAAAACCAAGTCAAGGACACTTTGAACTTTGTATGAGGGTACTGAGACACATAGACCCCCTATGCTAACCTATATGCTAACTGGAGAAAAACATGTATTTACTTTAGACATTGAAAATGTCTTCTAGAGGTTTTCAGAAATGTCCTTTTTTGCCCACTGAGCATATAGAAAAGGAAGAGAATAACAGATTAATCTGATCTAGATCCATAATTCAGTGTAATAACACCAGTGTTTCCCCTATATTTCTTATAAGCATATTCTTGTTTGTGTAGCATGGGGAGTTGTTTCCTTTCCCAGTGAAGATGGCTCAGAGCAATGTTCAATCCAGCTGGGAGCTCACCTGCAGCTGGTGATAGCTCTTTTGAGGAACCAATAAGACTTCATTAGCCACAGCAATTTTATAAGTAAAATAACTAAAACCCTACCTGAACAAGAATGCTGATTTGTTTCTCCAATGTAGTAGCAGGTAGTAAGAACTCAAAAAATAATTGAGTAGATGAGTAAGGATTTGCGGTATGAAAACCTACACCAGCTCTAACATCATTCATATGTTCTCCTTTCAGTTTGTCATCCACTGTAGGAACTTAGAGACGTAAAAGTAGCTGAAGCAAAATGTGGACTGGTAGCAGTATGTTGCTGTTAATCCACTTCTGACTCACTATTCCACTAGTACTTTTCAGGGTGGATATGTGAATAGAAGTACAAAGATGTGCCTACAGCAATCCTTGCCTAGGTTTAGATGGTGTTATCAAGATAATTTGTCATCTCATGCTGTTGCACTTCATCAGCTCGGCCAGCTTTAGACACAGGCAAAGTAGGGAGCATGCAAGTGTAACACTCTGAGGTTTTTACTTACCTGTGTGAGTGCCTCCCCCTGATTCTGAACAGTGTGTTTCATCAAGAATTTCATCTCTTACATCAAAAATATGTGAATTTCTATAGCACTCACAATCAAGAAAAACTGACAGGTTTGCTAAAAAAAAAGATAAATAAGATAACACAAGTGAAAATTACTCTGCAATGAAATCACACAAAAACCTAACAAAGATTATCAATGCTTAGCCAAACATTTTAATTAATTCTTCTTTCTGAAAAACTTACACACAGAAATGGACCTAAAAAACACTCAGTGCTCTGGGGTTGAAAAGACTTCAGTCGAACAGAGGTAGCAAGGATGAAGTTGAGTATTGGAACTTCATCACAGAAATCAGAGTTCTGAGAAATGTTGGGTTTGACCCTCATTTTCCCTCAACTCATCAGCGCTATCTGATGCTGATGAGTAAGGGCTGACCAGGACTGACCTGACAGCAGTAATTCTGTGCCAAATCCTTAAAAAATCTGATGGCTGTCAATCTCATAGAACCTACCACCTCTTCCAGCTTTGCAGACAAGTTATAGAAATACTGTGATTATGTCAACAGCCATGTTGTCGTATACAGTTGTATTATATAACTCTGCATTCATAGACATTAGGGCCAGAAGGACAAGCCAATATAAATTGTCTAGCCTCTGTTACATCACTGACTCCTGTTACTTTACATACCTAAAGCTATCTGTTGTGTCTGATGAGCTGTGCTTGACTAAAGAAAAGCGACAGGGTTTGGTCTGAAGACATAACAAAATGAAAAAGTTATCACTTTTCTTGGCAGTTTATTTCCATAGTTAATAATTTTTATTGCTAAAAATGTGTCCTTTATATCCAGTATAAAATTATGCTACAATTTCTTTCCATTAGTTCTTGCTATGCATTCCTTATTAATTTTTCCTCTCTATAAGGATATATGCAATATAACCAGGTTACCTCTTAATCCTCCTGTTGATAAGCTAAAAAGACTGCATTCTTTAAGATGCTGATTGTAGATCAACCCTTGAATTATTTTTTGCATCTTTTAGCTGCTTGTTCACCCAGTTTTCAGCTTCCTTTTAGAAGATGGAGAAACCAGAACTACTTGCACCAACTTAATATCAAAGCTACAAATGTTTAACAGAGAGGCAAAATAACCTTTGTATTCATTTTTTACCAGTCTATGGTTTCTCAGTTGCTATGACCACTATTGTTTTCCACGAGTGTTTTCCCAGTTCCCCCCCAAATCCTATTTTACAGGTAAGCTTTCCAACCCTTAGAGGATATTTCACTGGTCTATGACTGAAGCTGCTCTCCATTGATGAAGGTTAAGTGCTGCTTTGGGGAAAATGAGCAACTAGAGATGACAAATATAGCAAATAGGTACTACAAATGTGTCGACATTGATGGGAAGAGTTTAATAGTATCAAAGTAGAAGCATGTCTATGTCTATGTTTAAAGAGCTTCTTCAAAACAACCTCTGCATCTTGGAAATTTTGTTTTCCCTATGAAAAATACGAAAACTAGGTCATTTTCTACTAAAATATATTTCAAGTATGGTCTGTTTCTTCATGTAATTCTTAAAAAAAAGGAGATTCCAGGGCAGACAGGTCCTGGACTCTACTGAACAGAAATTACATCTTTGTCATCACAGGAATGTGATTTAAATCCGTAGATAATGTTTTTACAAGAAAGGACAAAAGGAACCTGCTCTAGTTATGTTATTTTGATGGAACTGTAGAAAAAAAGGGATGAAGCTAGATTTTCCTTTTTCTTTGTCCAGTTATACGCCTATGTGATTTCATTGATTTTATTAATTTTAGTTTTAATATTTAATAATAATATTTTTGATTTACAGCAACATATATGTAATCTGATTGTATCGCTTCATGTAAAATCAAACATTCTATATTATTATCATAAAGAAATGTATCATTCAATTTAATGGCTTATGTTTAAAATAATAGTCTCCATCTAATTCTCTTTCTGCAGGGAAAAATGATATTTTTGGAGAGATGGTACATCTTTATGCAAAACCAGGAAAGTCAAATGCAGATGTGAGAGCTTTAACTTATTGTGACTTGCATAAAATCCAGCGAGAAGATCTACTAGAAGTTTTGGATATGTACCCTGAATTTTCTGATCTCTTCCTCACCAATCTAGAACTGACTTTTAATCTGAGAGATGAAACTGCAAAGGTACATACAATAAGTGATGGGTTTTTTTCTTAATATTGGGCCAAATCTGTCCCACAGTAACAAAACTTGAAAATAGCAATTAAAAAACCAAGGTTAGCAAAACTAACAGCTAAAAGCCTAGGGCCAAATCCTATTTTAAAAAAATATACTCACCTGATTGCTCTTACTGAAGTGAGCTAAACTCAGCAAAAGTCAATGAAATTATTCAGATGATGTTAATCTAACACAATTTGGTTCTATATTTAAATAGTATTAAAGTTTTAGCCAGGGCGATTTTGGATGTTTTATTAAAACCATAGAAAATACGTTTTTTTCAGATTACTACATCCTGGGTCACCATAAGGGGAACTTTTGACACTAAATATAATTGTACAGCCATAAAATAAAGATAAATCAGATTATCTGGATTAATTCTGTGTCTAAATAGAAAATATTTAATTGCCTTTCAAACATGAATTGTTAATTCTCTTATCTTGGAGTGCACCCTACCTCCTAGGAGACTAAAAGCATACAAGGGACTTTCCAAATTTCACTCAGTATTCAGATTTGCAGGGATCTCTTGATCTTTTTTCCCACAGTGACTCTCATAAGTGTCCCCTTTTGCATAGATTGCATCTTCAGGAAAGTAGAAAAATTATCAGTGTTTCCTTCCAGTAATTTCAGATTGACGGAGTCAGTCTGAATTGGGAAAGAAAGGGGAGGTTTGACCAGAAGGGGAGAGGTGCAAGGCTATTGCCCAGCTTGTGCTACTGGGGCTAATGCTTTCCCTAGAAACTTGCAGGGTGCACCAGCACCAGCTGCCAAACACGGACTACACCGCCCACAGAATGAGTAGTTTACATTTCATTTCATTATTTCTGAGACACTTGTTTTCTGGTTTCTGACTACACTTTCAAGGGAAAACAGAGGTTCATTGAGAAAGGACAAACATAATTTGGCCTCGAAGGCCTTTTGAGAAACAAGAGAGACAACACTAGGTTTGGGGCTGTAAATGATAGGGACATCTTTGCTAAACACATGTGGATCTTTAGTTTTATAAAACTGAAACAAATACAGCTTCTGACAAGAAATGTCACTTCTTTTTATTCTGAGCCCTTTTTTAATGAAATATTATTCTGAAAATAAAAGGCCAATTCTATTTTTTATTTTAGAAGTCAACCTTTTGTGTTTATTGAAAAGGTCATCATTATTAATTACACGTGAAATATAATGAATTTATAGTCTAGTGATAAATTTAGGTTACAACTGGAAGCTCACATATTTGAAAAATTCCTTGAGGATAAATTCACATTGATTATGTTAGTCTGAGCAATTATTCCCTGCAATTACATTGTTGTCAATGTTTTATCATTATTTTTCCTTAGATCTGAAAAATTGAAACAAAATTCCATCTTCTGTGTTTTGGTGCAGAATACACAACTAAAGTCCTCACTGCTCATGTTCCTTGGAAATTTTTCAGTTGCCATTTCTCACCACTGTAGCAGCCACTAAGAAGAAATCGTTAGATTTCACAGAGACAGGGGAGGGAGGACAAGCTCACTCATGCCTTTGAGCTTGCCAAATCAGTTTTCTCTAGCAATTCCACTTGCTTTCCACTGTCTATTGCAATCCAGAAAATCATCCTCCAAAAGAAGTGATGAGCACATTCTGATCTTCAAAACATCACTGAGATACAGATTTGTTATCTGAATAATGGGTGCTTCTGCCTCAACTTCTGCTCCTGTCCTCCTATTTACGTAAAAGTGCCTTTTCTGCCTGCAGTTATTCTACCAGTGGGCCACCACTGAAGCACCTTACCCACCAGGTTTACAATGAAGGGAATAAAGAAAGATGTAAACACTTCCCACTTCTTTCCCTCTGCCCTTCTGCCACATGCAAATCTACTTACCTGAGTGGTATGGGAAACCTCACTAGCACAGGGAAGAGAAGTAGGCTAAAGTCAATGTCATGGGTATGTACACAAAGAACATAAGTGGTGTTATATTTGTTTATTTCTCATTTTTAAATAAGTAGAAAGAAGAGTTAAATGCATCTTGTATTTATGATGGGAAAAAACACATCCATCTTCTATAAGATGGGCAGAAGACGACACTATTGTGTTCTGCTATGACAATAAACAGCTGAATGAACTGAGTCCAATAGAGAGGAACGGAGGGTCTAGAAAGATAAAGTCATGAGCAGTAAAGTCTATGGTGTTTATTAGCCTTTATTTAGTGTTGTAAAATGTGTACTTTATAATCGTCTGGTAATTAAATATAAATCTAATTACAATCAATTACCACATCACTTCTTGCAATAGTATACATTCACTGTTGGAGGTTATTTAATTTTCTTTGGTAATTTCTCTAAGATGACCATCTGTGCAAGTTCAGGAAGATGATAGCTTGTGAACACATGTTGTTCCATATAAACAAGTCAGGATACTTGTATTTCAGCATCAGGTGATGACATTGTTGGTTTTCCTCAATCTGAATGAACTTTTTAACATTATCATTGAGCAATACCATTTGCTGAGGATGGAGAGGTTGACGCAGACTGACTTCTGTAATATTGCCTTTCTTAAAGATTGAACATGATTAACAGTCCATCACCTATTGAAAAACTGCTCTCTTTAGATGGGACTAATCTGTCATTATGTTTCATATTTCATTAATCAAGTCTGACCTCGTAATAAGAGCACAAACTACTAATGATTCAGATGGAGATAACTGCAAACTACGAAGACGGAAATTGTCCTTTCAAAGTGAAATAGAGAAAGGTAATTAACTTCATTTCTTACATTAGACAGCACTGTTTCATTATTCATTGGTATTTCACTTGGTAATGCTGGGTATATTAGGGTCTCATGTTGGCTGTTACTGTAGCAGCTCTTGAGAATCCAGCTGAGCAGCAAAAACAGTCTGTGCATTGTCCCCTGTATGGTTATATATGATTAGAGGATATCAGTTTCATGCATGACTTCACATCTATCAGTGCAGAGGTGTTCAAACACTAAGCTACCTTATTGTCCTTGAAATATACATATATATCATAGAATGACAGAATCATAGAATGGTTTGGGTTGGAAAAGACTTTAAAGATTATTTAGATTCAACCCCCACTGCCATCGGCATGAACACCTCCCACCAGACCAGGTTGCTCAAAGCCCCATGCAATCTGGTCTGGAACGCTTCCAGGGAGGGAGCATCCACAGCATCTCTGAGCAACCTGTTCCAGTGTCTCACCACTCACAGTAAATAATTTCTTCATAATACCTAATCTAAATCTACTCTCTTTCAGTTTAAAGCCATTACCTCTTGTCCTATCACTGCACTCCCTGACAAAGAGTCCCTGCCCGTCTTTCCCGTAGACCCCCTTTAAGTACTAGAAGGCTGCTATAAGGCCTCCCTAGGAGGCCTTCTCTTCCCTAGGCTAAACAATCCCAGCTCTCTCAGCCTGGCCTCACAGAAGAGGTGCTCCAGCCTGATTATCTTCAGCGACCACCTCTGGACTTGCTCCAACAGATTCACATCCTTCTTATACTGGAGGCCCCAGAGCTGGACAGAGAACTCCAGGTGGGGTCTCACGAGGGCAGAGTAGAGAGGGAGAATCACTTCCCCCTGCCTGCTGGTCAGACTTCTTTTGATGCAGCCCAGGATACGGTTGGCTTTCTGGGCTGCAAGCACACATTGTTGGTTCATGTTGTGCTTCTAATCCACCAACACCCCCAAGTCTTTTTCCTTAGGGCTGCTCTCAATCCATTCTCCACCCAGTCTGTATTTGTGCTTGGGATAACATAGATACATTATGTCTTAAACAATATCTATTTTCTGAGACACCATGTTTGAAACTGTTTGGAAGCTCATCTATTGGATTATTTATTAGTAATGTTGATTTTACATTGTCAGCAAAGTGCTTTGTTGAACTTGATGCCAGGAAGTGTTTCTTCCTGCAATTAAGATATTTTGTTTTCAGGACACAGTAGATTCAACGTAGTCAGATTTGATTCATATAGTAATGTGTAAACAGTTGCCCTGGCAAGAGGAACATCTTCTGTGCTTACATCCTCCTTAGAAGCTTTTGGGAGTGATCCTAAAGAAGGAAAACTCAGTGAAATATTAAACTATGTCACCAGTATTCAGCACTGCTAAATATCAGGACCTGTAGGTAGTAGCTGTGGTCAGACAGGAACAGTCATGAAGACAGCTAAACTGATAGTCACAGGATTTGTCATTTTTATGTAGTGAAAGCAGAATACCTTGAATAACATTACACTTCTATGGTCCAATGGTTTGTATGACAAATTACCGTTTCTGGTATGCCTGTCTTTCATACTCCCCAGTTAAAATCCAATCCTAAATACAGCATAATACTAATTTTAGAGTTGCAGAGTAGCTGATAACAAATGGGAACACTTTAAATGTACATAGCAGGTATAATGCTCAATGAAGGAAGACTTTAATCCAGAGTGTGGCTACTCAGAACAGTGACATTGCCATTCGATCAAAGCAGCATCTTTAGGGCAGGAAGCCAAGACTGACAGCAAGTCTGTCAGGAAAATGTCCCCATGAAATATTCAATCTGCTCTTCACAAAGAATCTGTTGACAGAGGTTCTTTGCCTGAATAACCTTCACTTTTCTTATGAGAAAATGTGCGCTGCCACCTAAACAAGATGAAAGTGATCTTCCTTGTTGTGCCTGCTGCAGAATTACAAATAGGTTCCTCAGGTGTCAACATGGTACCAAGACCCCTAGCCTTTTATAGTTCTTTCCCAGTAGATTACACTGAACATCTTCTTGAAGATATTTATTTGCTTTACTTTTGAAATAATATAATTTCCCACAATTTTGACTTTGAAAAAAACCAGAACAACTTGCACAGTTAAGGAAGAATCAAGACTGGCAACAAGCTTCTTAGTCCTGGTAATGATTGTGCAGTATCTGGTAATGTCTGCATCAGACAGAAATACTGTACATTGGAAGTCCATCTGAGGAGAAAATGCAATCATAAGAGTGCCTTGCCAAAAATTAATATACTTTTGGCCCACTGGCTTACTGCCTCTCTCTGGTCCCTGTTCAGATTCTCTATATGGTGCCATAGATGCAGCAGACACCTCACAGTCATAGACCTTCAATGTCCCTTTCCTGTGGCCCATCCTACAGTCTGTATGAGGTTTCAGAGTACTAGAGGTTACTGCTGGCTTATGAAGAAATATTCTGTTGATTTAAACACTTCACATAGAGGAGGGAGTGGCATCATCTTTTGATCCAGTCTATAATTGATAAATATTTGGGGATGATCCTGCAGAGTGCCTCAGAACTGGAGTAGAAAAGACAGAGTTCCTGAACACACAGCTGTCAAATAAATTTCTGGTCACAGTGTTGTTACAGATAAAAATGTGTTGTATTATGATTTTTAACAATCATATTTTTATTTCAGAACTACTCTTTGAACAGGATAGAGAAACCCATCATTCTCGCTTTTATGTTCTGATATTTGTCATCTCACTAAATTCTTATTGACTGGTAATTACTGGGGGAGGTTGTTCATTACATGGTCTTCTTGCTGGCATTCTTCACTTTCAGCTGCTGACCTACTAGCATATTACACAGTTTGAGAGTGTATTGTTTCCATCTTTAGTGCGATCATCAGCAATTTTCTCCCTTTTGGAGTGCTAAAAATGGGATTGTGTTATCTCAGCCTTTAGTTCATACTAGCCTGATTTGGACCTTGTTGCCATGGTAACTCTTCCTGCATGAGTTTTATCAGGGGTTAAACAAAATCACCACAGTGCTCTCTTACGCATCAGTTAGTACCACTACATTTCCAATTCCAAGCAAGACTTTCTCACTCTCTCTGTACATATTTCCACCATTTCTTACCTATGTCAACAAAAAATTATCTTAGCTAGTACACTGGGCTCTGCCATAATGTGATTTTAAAGGGTACAAGGCTACTTAGGGACCAGCTTGTTCTCTGGTTTCCAGAAAGGACTGCAATACCACAAGAGGTACTCTGCAGAAATTAACACTTATGCTACATAGTGGCTTATTCTTCCTTTCATCCAAAAGAAATTCACTGCAGGTCTTTCAGAATAACAGATGATATTTCTTGCACAGGTGCAGGTGCAGCCTTAGCCAGTTACCATAGATGCTTGACAGTCAGCCAAGAAAGTCTTTCCATGACTGCTTAAAATAAGCAGTATTCCTGCCTGGCAGCTGCAAACTCTCAGCTGGGTTGGCAAGATTGCTGAAAACTGAGGGACAATGAGCTGCTCCCTAGGTTTTCTCTTCAAGCAATGCAGAACACAATCCTTTCTTGCCCATTTCTCATTTTCCTTTAGTAGTTGTGTGGGCTTTAGTTTAATTTCAAGGGAAATACATAGGGGCAAGAAGATTCTTTTCCTCTGCTAGTTCTGAGTGCAGATCTATTATCCCATGCTGAGTGGGACATCACTAGAGTTGGTTACGTGACTATGAAATCGAGACATAAAGGTGAAAAACGCAAAAATTACAGGCAGAATATAAGCTCACTGAGAGCTTGAAAACTTCAGGCTTTGAAAAGACTTTTCTGGAGTTCAAGCATTATTACTTTTGCTAGCATCTTGTTTAAAATTTCTAAATGATGGCACTAAAATCTTAACCTTTCTGGCACTGTTCCAGTGCCCAATTATTCTCATTAAAAGATATTCTTTGCATTTAAGTTTAATTCATGTAACACTTAGCTGAAGGCTATCAAAATTCTGGACCTGTTCTGGGCATTCACACATGATATTTTTGAAGCCCTGGAAGCAATCAGGTAAGAAATTATTTCCAAGAAGAAAGCTGATTTTTGTCTAAAATTGCACTTCTTACCTAGCCACATCATAGCCACCCTTTGTTCTTTAGACACAGCGTATAAAATATTTCCATCATATCCAGGGTAGTTAAAATACTGGCTAGATAAGCTAACATGAACATACTAACTGGGAATGTAATTATGACCTCACTGAAATAAATATTCTAGATTTTTAGCTGTGATCCAAAAAACAAGATCATCCACACTCTAGCTGAGAGGATGACAAGAACTCCAGTGGAGTTATATTGTTCAATTAGTAACCAGAGATTCAGGTAGCTAGTGATACTTAATCTTTAACTCTTGTCAGCTGGCCCAGGTAACTCATAACAAGGAATTTTTATTTCCATGGATGTGATTTTAAAAGGTCACAAAATAAAGTTCTTGTGAAATCTTGTTCCACAGTTATTGTATGCACTTGCCCATACTGACACAGACTGTAATAATCAGAAGGGATAAAAAATGCATTTTGCAGTGTTTCCTTTTTAGCATGATGTTAAGTAAGTAAACTTACATAGTACTTAATTTTAATTTGAAGAGTTATGCTTCTTGACCAGACTTTTCCAAAAGTATCTACTGATCTATTCTCAAAGTAAGCACAGAAGCCAGATCTGTAATAAGCTTCTAATTGAATCTTGATTAGTATAGCTACCTTAAGTGTGCAGTGCTTGGAGGTACCATCCAGGCTAAGAAGTCAAACCATATTAACATAGCTTTATTACACTAGGTATCGAGAGCCCATGGCTGGCAATATAGAAGATGAGGAAATCTTTCAGGAACTGATCCTTCCTGCCTGAAAGTATGAGATGAAGCAGTACCAAGAGAATGGGGAAACCCCCATGCACTCTCTCCAATTCTTGCCCCCTTCCCCCAGCTTATTTATTTAAATGCTTACTTTATGAATATATATGACTCAGCCAAGCACTGTGCTGTGTCCTCAGCAA